GATCTCAGTGTATCCATTTTTTGCGATTTCTTGTTTATTTCAAAATCAGCTAAAACTTCATCCAACTTCCCTAAAGTCTAATCTCAACATACTTTAGAGAACCTGGAAAATTCCCCAGTAGTCCCAGCCAGGGAAACACCAAGATCCCTTTGGCTGGAAGACCCTCCTCCTCCCTGAGAACTCTGGCTCTCTGGGCAGCTCCCTGTCCTGCTTCTGCTCCTGGGAGCCTGTTCTGGACCCTCCACGTGCTGGGGGGACCCTCAGGGCTTCTCTGTCAGGGGTGGCCACCCTGACAGGAGGCTCTCCAGGAGGCCACCTCCCCTCTGAGCACGCCCTCCCCTTACCGTGGAAGATGCCCACGTTGTTGACCAGCACGTCGAGGCCCCCGTACTCCCTGCGCAGGAAGTCGCGCAGGGCGCGGATACTCTGCAGGTCGTTGACGTCCAGCTGGTGGAAGCGCGGGCTCAGGCCCTCGGCCTGCAGCTGCTGCACAGCCGCCTGGCCCCGCACCGCGTCCCGCGCCGTGAGTACCACGTCCCCGGGGAACTGGCGGCACAGGTCGCGCGTGATGGCGAAGCCGATGCCCTTGTTGGCGCCGGTCACCACCGCCACGCGGCTGCAGGACGACATGGCCCGGTGGGGCGCGCGGGACACCTGAGTAGAGAAGGAATCACGCTGAGGTCCCCGAGCTGCGTGGCGCGTGCGAGAGTCTGAGCGAGTGTGTAGGGTGCCAGGTGTGCTCGGGCAGAGTACCCGCTCAGGCGTGGGATCCGCCCCTGCCAGACTGGGGCTCCTGGAACCTCCCTGGACTTCCCCAGAGCAGAGGAGGCCAAGGAGAAGCCCGTGACAGTGCTTTCCGGATCAGCAGCCTCAAGACAGTGGCTGGTCGGTGCAGGTCGCTGCCCGCGTAACAGAGATAAATCATTTCTATTGACCACGTGCCTAAATCTGAGCTCACCCCTCATCCCTGCTTCTCTGGTTTCTAAGGGCGTTTCTTCGTGTTCCTGCAACTATTCAACCATTCACATTTGAAGTCTTTGGAGCTAGAGTTGTGGAAGAATCTCGAAGAAAATGACAGGTTATTTTCTCCCCTTAGGATATGAAAGCAAAGCCGCTGGCTTATCCTTGGCCAGGTTTTCTAATCAGGTGGGAAACATTTACTAACTCCTCACAGGGTTACCTCTGTGGACACTTGCAGGCGGTCGTCTTACTTGTATCCGGGTCCTGCAGTGTACAGGTGACAGGAGGCTTCCCTGACCTATTTTACACTCAAAGTAACATGTCAGGATGCATATTCTATCCCCATTTGAAAAGGAAGAAATGGATCCAGCCTCGGAAAGTTTATAAATTATTTCAATGATGAGAAATGAGTTTTCTTTCTTACTGCTTAGAACAAGAGAGTAGAGGGTTATAAGGTCAAGTTTCATTTCTGTGTTTTCCATAGGTGGCCAGTAGCCACAGTGGCTATTTAAATGCAAATTTAAATCAATCAAAATTAATGCATTTAAAATTTCAGTTCTTTAGTTCCACTGGCCACGTTTCAGGTGCTCACTATTCACGTGTGTTAGTGGTCACTGTACTGGGCAGTGCAGACAGAGGATGCTTCCATCATTGCAGAAAGTTCTTTTGGGCGCCATGAGTTTAAGTAGAATCCAGTTATGTTGCAATTTCAAGGTAGGTTTCCAGTCAGTTGCTTTAGAAAAGTTAATAATTGGAGAAAGAACTTTGCTTATGGTCAACTGTACAGGGAACTTTGGACAGGTTGAAGTTTCAAAAGGCAAATTATAATAAGACCATAAATCATGATTTTTACTTTGAATTATTTGTGCTTTTAGTACTGCTACCAACACAACAATTGACAGGTCCATTGGGCAGGAAGCTCCAGGAAAGGTAACATAGAAAATATCGTGTATTAATAAGAATTTAGTATATGATAAAGGTAACATCAACAATTAATAGAGGAAAGAATTATTCCAGAATTGGTACTTTAGAAAGGGTTTAATAACTGGAAAGAAAAAAAAAACCCTTATGTTGGGCATGGTGGCACATGCCTATTATCCCAGCAGAGGCTGAGGTGGTAGGATCACTTGAGGTCAGGTGTTTGAGACCAGCCTGAGTAACATGGCAAGACCCCATCTGTATTAAACTTAAAAATAAGGTAACAAGGCATGGTGGCACATGCCTGCAGACCAAGCTACTTTGGAGGCTGAGGCAGGAGGAATGCTTGAGTCCAGGAATTTGAGGTTACAGTGAGCAATGATTGGGCCATTGGGGCCATTGTACTCCAGACTAGGTGACAAAGGGAGACCGTCTCAAGGAAAAAAACAAAAACAAAAACAAAA